TTGAAAGAAATGTTTAATAAAATAAACAAATAAATATTAGCAGCTTTTTTTTTTTTTTTTTTTTTTTTTTGTAAATTTTGATACCCTTTAGATAATAATTGTTCTTTATTTCGTAAATTACGGTTTCATATTTTTAATTTTATAATTTCTGCATGCCATTTTACCAGATTTAAACTGATGATCTATAATCCGGAAAAATCGATAATCCGGAATCACCGAAGTCCCGACGAGTCCGGATTAACGACTTTTAACTGTAGTTGTTTTTGTGGCATTGATAGCCTTGCCTTTTTATGAACCTGTAGCACCAGCCCTCAGACCCTGAAAATTTCTGTTTTCCAAGTTTTTCTGCTAATCCGTTTGACCTCAATGACTATCATTTTGGTTGAAACATTTATCCCAAATTTCCTCTTATCTATCACCCACATTTTTACGGCATTTTCAAGTTCAGGCCAAGATGGAGCTGGGCAAAGAAGGTTATGTTTTTGGTTTTTAGCAGTCTTCAGTTGATCTTCCTGCAGTCGCCAAGTACGTATCATTTTTTCGGTAGGTGGTGGACCGAAATGCCTTGCTGCTGCTCTGTTTCCATGCACTTTGGCGTTGTTTAACACTCCTAGTTTATACTGAATTGTATAACTTAATCTCGTTTCCTGTAGTCATATTTTCCAAGGTATTTTTTTTAAACAAATAGTTTTAAGCACCGATACCGATACGTTTATACAGTGTAGCACCGATACCAACACGTGTGTCGGCTGAGTCAAAGAAAGTCTATGTAAAGCAGGAAAGGCTCCATAGACGTAATGTGACCGTCAAACCTGTTCAAACTTCGACATCAGCTTCGAACTTTGCCGCTTTTTGGCAACAGATATTTCACGCATGCACAAAATAATTATACAGATGTAGAAAAAGTTACGTGTGTCTAGACCTTTATCCAGGCTAAAAATAGCATTCAGTATTGAAAGTTAACCTGTGTCCTTCCCGTATAAGATGCAGGTAACTTTTTTGAGACAAAATTTAGGAAAAAAAGTGCAGTATGCAAATACAGTATGCTGGATATATTTTGGTTTAGAGTGCCAGTTGTAATTGTACACAAAATGTGGTAGCCTGTTTATTTTAGCTTGTTGAGTAGTTATGCCATGACATCATCATGAATAAATAGGAAAATGAGCAATGATTAGTTCTCTCTTTGACACTGTTAGCTGCATTTATTCAAATGCTGATCCCTCCCCTTGAAGGAATAATCAGTATGGATTATACAATTTGGCAGAATGACAACGATTTGTCATTAAATTCTTCTAAAAAGGAAAAAAGAATCATCCTTAATAAAAGACAGTTCATAAAACTACAACATATTACACTTTGCTGCTGTCATACAATTGAAAAGCTGCTACAATGAAAGGCTGTCGAAAAAAAAAGTACCCACACTCCTTTTCTGACAGCTACTCAGTTTATTTTTTCCTGGCATGAAAAACTCATATTAATAGAACTCTGTAGAGTACAGTAGTTGATTGGCATAATTACATGTATTCTTATTTATGAATTCATATATTTATCTTTATTTTTACATTTATTTTGATTTAATAAAACAGACATCCTTTCCATGAAGCTACGTGTTTTAAACAATAATAGTGAAATAATAATTGCTCTATAATGGCTTCCAAAGAAAATACAATTTATCTGACAAATCAGGTTACAGTACGAAGTCCAAAATCTGGATGTCCAATATTCACAACAGAAATGAATAAATAAAAAATATAATAAAAAATCCCCCATTAAAAAAATCTAGGAATGGAAAATTTAATAAGAAATAAAAAGTAGGTGAGACTGTAAATGTGATTTTTATCCTGACAGAGATTCTTGCATATCATTTTCAAACACTTGCTAGCTTTGGAGTCTCACTGTAACACTGAACTAATTAGCACTGAATTGATTTCAGCCATAATCACACTTCTCATAGTTAAGTATTTGTGTCGTCAGGGGCAGGCTACAGATTTGCTGACCCATCAAATGTCAGTGAATTCTTACAAGTACCTCCTTAAATTCTAATAATTTTGCCATCCCTAAATTCTGATGCTCTGTGCCTCTTAAATTCTAAAAATTTTGCCATCCCTAACTCATTTTTGCTGTTCAGCGCCCTTTTAAATTCTAAAATTATTGTGCCCTCATCAGCTCTGGCTCGATAGAAGGGTTCGAATTTTTCTATCTGATATAAATAATAATCAAAGACACGATGTTGAACTGTCTAAATAACATCGTCACCTAAATGGTATAATGGTTAGCGACACTGACTTCATACTGAAGAGCAGATTTTTTTAATCTCAGAGAAGGCATGGATATTTGTAAGCATCAAATATCTGTGCAGCAAAGGCGTACTCAAAATAGAGGGCAAGCCTAAAGTCTGCATGAAGAGGTTAATGGTAGAAGAGAGGTGAGAGACCATCGGACTACCCATCAAGGTGTCCTTCCTAAAAAAACTGGGGTACAAACTTAACAGTTAGATAGGTTCAGCAAATACGTCAATTACATGTAGTATTACAGATGTGTTGGCCTAGCTTCTGCATGTCAACTTACTAGACTTAACCCAAGATCTAAAATTTTGAAATTTTCAAAATCCGGAATCATAGAAATCCTGATAATTCCAGATCTCTGACTTTATACTGCATTACTCATTTTCCACCTTTAAAATTTCTGCATGATGATCGTCAATTAAAATAATTTAATGAGCTTTTTATTTTAATTCAAATGCCAATGAAGCTTGTTCCACAGCTTTCGCTACACTGATTTTTTTAAATTTTATAAACAGTCTACTGCAGATTCTGTAATGTTTAACCCTTTGTTAAACATTACAGAAATTGACTCTAATTTTTAACTCCATATCGCCCCAGATAGCCTTTCATGCAGACTACCAAAACCGCCCCTAACGGTCAAAAGTCCAATGTTGTTTTCTTTCCCTCCCCTAAGGTATGCAGTAGCAGGTGCAGTTTCCTATAATGCATTGTATCAGTTTATTGCAGACAGCTCACCCTAAAAGGATTTATTTGTGGTTTCTTATCCTTATTTGTTAGAAGTAGAAAGGTTGTCTGTCATTTAAAATCTTCACTCTTCTTTGTGCGTTAATGGATGGGGAGGAGAGGAAATTGTTGCGACTCTCAAAAACCATTTCGGGCAGTTCGGTACTTTAACATACAAGTTAGCGAAAGCTTTGGTTTTTAAAGAGTTTTAATAGAATATGAACTTTTTCAGCTGATGTAGATTTTATTATACGAAATGATGATTTAGCTTTTCCACCATACATAGCTATGAAAAAGAGTAACTCCAGTGGCACAATATGGTAGTTCGCATAACACCCATAATAAAAATTATATTTGTCTGTGCACCAGTTAGATGGATCTTTCCTCATTACATGACAAGCATAACTATTAAGATACCATTTAAGACTGTTACTATCCTGCCTTAGATTTTGTGTCAATATTTATATTTGGTACCAAGTGACAATAATTAGTAGCAAGGAAAGAAAATATAAGTCTCCTTTACCACAAAGGATGTAATATATTTATAAAAAAGTAACAATTATTTATTTCCTTTCAATCAAAGATACATCAGAATAGAAAAGAAATTAGATGCGGAAAAAAAAAAAATTATACAAAAATCAAATCTAAAATTTAATTTATTATTTTTATTTTGTAAGTTAATATCATTAAATGCATTTTTTAAAATTATAAAATTTCACTAAAAAATGCCATGCTTTGTAAGAAAATTGAAAAAAGCAAAATACCTTCATTATAAAAAATTTTATTTTATATGTAATATTGACATACAAGTAAACAAGCATAGAATACAGTTACAAAAATAAATAAATGTAACTTTCCAAGAAGAAAGTATACACACACACACAAAAGGACGAATTTTTTGGTACTTCCTTATTGTAGTACACAGCAAAATTTAATTGCTGATGAACCTAGATGTAACATGTAGTGAGATATAAGAACATATGGCAAGATACCTCAGTTAAGTAGCGATTCAATCTTGGGTATCTGCTATAATAAGGAACTACCTTTTCTTGTTGTTGTTGCTGTTGTGCTCTACCCATCACGGTAGCAAACTCTTACCTTTTAAAATTACACATACATTTCTGAAAGCTGCTAGAATGTCTCAATTACAGATCATAATTTCATACTTGGGCAAGCAAACTTTAATACTTATTATTTAACCGAAATCCTAGTATTTGCAAATAGAAATACCAAAATTTAACTTTTCATAGAGAAAAATTACATGAATTTGCTTTGTAATAATTAACACTCTGTAGCAGATATGGAATATTTATTATGAAGCAGAAGCAACTTGTTTTCATAGAGGAAAGTTTATAAATACGAGAACTAAGATAAACATCTAAATGGCATTTAACTACAGTTCAAACGACTTTTTATCTAAGCTCGGTGGTTTAAAGCACACATTTATCTAAATTCTTGATTAAAATCTCAATAGCAGATGAACTCCTATTCAAATTTAAGAAAACATATGCTTCTTTCATACTTTTCCCAAACTGAGAAAATAATTTCTAGAAGAAGGAAATTAAATGCAGTGTTTGCCAGTCACCATATTTAAAAATTACACAAGCCGGACGCATTTCCCGACCTGAAGATAATATAAAGGATTTTCATAAATTCGAAATTTCTTTTTATAAACTAATAAAAGGATATTAATTTAAGTCATGCAAGATTAACTTTCAGCATATGTGCAAAATTCTCCATATTTCATAAAAGCTCTGACAACAAAGAGTTTCATTCAAAACAGGGAATAAATAAACAAGACTAAAATTCTTATTTATTAATAGCCTAAATTGCAAATTAAAAATTTAATCAAAATGTGAAATATTTAGAGAATTTCAGAACAGATGCAAAGTTCACGTGAACTCAAAAAAGTGATAGCTGAAACGGGACATGCAAATTAAGAGTAAAAATTTTAATCGCATTTTATCTGTTATCTCAAATCAATGAACTTACCTCCCCATAATCCCAACTTTAGTTGTGAGCTATCAAAATTTGCAAGGTAGTCGCCTAAAAGTTTGTTCAAGAGACTTGCTACAAGTGATTCAAAAACCATGGTGCGATTACTTTTTTTTTTTTTAATAATATCGGTCCGGATACATTAGTTCTCAAAGAAAATGAATTTTCATTCTGCTAACAAAACAAAATCTTGCAGCAGAGAATTTTCGCTCTCAAACGAGTTACTCGATGCGGTACTCAGTAAGGAGACCGCAAACCCGCATGCGATAAAAATATCGGGCTTCCGGAAAAGCCCATATCACGTGCCAAAAACAATCACCGCTCAAAATAAAAATTTTACATTTTTTATTTTCTTTCTCTTTACGTATAGCAATATATGTGCTACTTTTATTTTAATATACGCGAATATGAACGCAGTATTTTCCGATTTATTTTCATAGTTGTCTAATGAAGCAGCAACTCAGAAAAGAACTTAGCATGAACTATTTCGGCTGTTAAAAAAATAAAAAATGAATAATAACTAAAAAGTCATATCAATTCATACTGCTGTTTTTTTTAATAATTCAATAAATAACTTTTGGACTTGTAACAAAACCTAAATTTAAAATACTATTTCTAAAACCCGAAATAAGCAGTTCTCATAAGAACATCTCTGGCGACTCTCAAACATTTTGCCAAAATTAGAAGCATAAGACAAGAAAATGGAGTATTTAATGGAGGTTTCCTTATCGGTTTAAAATAGTTCGATGTACCTGTGTTTATGTTATAATGAGTACTACTAAGAGCATATAGTGAATTAGAGTACCAAAAAGCAGTGCTTTTCTTTACTCTGTCTGTATCTGGTGAAGACCATCGGTAAAACAAAATGAGAGCTGTGGACAAAATACGCATGCATCAAAAACAAAGAAGAATTAGAACAAGAAGTCTCAAAATTTAGCAACTGCATCAATTCTGCCACCAATACGTTTTACGTGAACATGCCTTTCCTCCCCCTACCTGCCGATATGAGAAATAAAGAGAAAAACCGAATCCGTAAAAGATGGCAAACCACCAGGGATCCGCAACTCAAACGCGAACTAAACTCTATGCAAAAAGAAATCAACAGAAGAATCAAGAACTTCAAAAACCAAAAATGGACCAATTTCCTAAATAACCTAGCTATAGAGGACAATTCCCTATTTGACACTTCCCGCAAATTCAAGAAACCTTATAAACCTATCCCACCTATCCATCGACCTAGTGGAATTTCATATACAGAAGAAGATAAAGCTAAATCTTTTGCAGACTATATGGAAGATACATTAAACTCTTAATTCCACTCCGTAAGACAAAAACTATATTCAACGGTTCAGTCTAGTGGTCAATAACTTCTTTAATACCTTTGCTCCGTACAACTTCACTTTCCTGACTACCCCAACAATCGTAGCCTTACAGCTCCTTACAGACGAAGAAAGCCCCAGGGCACGATGGCATCTCGACCAAAGCACTGAAATATCTGCCGATCAACCCTCTTACCTGCCTAACTAAGATAAACAACAACATTATCAAATTCACTGATTTTCCTAGCTCATGGAAGTCAGCTATAATAATTGTTTTTGCTAAACTGCAACAAAATCTCACCTTCTCACAGAACTATCACCCTATCAGTTTACTAAGCCATCTTTCTAAAGTTACTGAGAAAATTCTACTTTTCCACATCCAAAGAATTCACTCTTCTATGATTTTTTTCCCAGAAGAACAATTCAGTTTTTGCAATCCTCACAGCACTTGCCACCAACTTCTTAGAGTTATCAACATTATCATTGAAGGCTACAACTGCAAGCTTCCGACCGGTGCCATAGTCCTCGATATCGCGAAAGCCTTTGACAGGTTATGGCATCGCTGCCTTATTTACAAACTAATCACTCTCAATTTTTCAGATCATTTTATTAGCTTAATAGCCTTTTTTCTCCGCAACAGAACATTTAGAACAAAATCGGTACTGCTTACTCAACAACCAGAGTAATCAAAGCTGTTGTCCCACAAGGATCGGCACTTTCGCCGTACTTTTTTAATATTTATACACAAGACATCCCTAAAGACCCTTCTGTTCATCTTGCACTCTTTGCCGATGACACCGCCATACTTACTAAAGACTGCACAGCCATCGCCGTAAGAAACCAACTCCAAAACTATCTCAAAAACTGGGAAAATGGCTCACCCTTTGGAGCATTAAAATTAACACTGATAAAACCAAGGCAATAATTTTCCGTAAGGGAAACGTAAAATACTTTCCTCCATCCCCTGAAATATTTGACGAAGAAATATTAATGAAACCAAACACCTTGGAGTCACCCTAGATTAAAAACTTACCTTCAGAACACACTTCTGCTCCGTAGCACAAAATTTTAAATCACCACAGCTACTATGCGACCTCTTCTTGGTAGCAGGAGCAACTTATCTACTAAAAACAAATCAATTTTATATTGTTCCATACTTCGCCCAGCCCTCCTTTATGCAGCTCCGATCTGGGGACATGCAACTAAAACCAATATTAAACAATTACAAATTCTGCAAAATAAAATTTTACGAGAAACTATCAATTCTCCTTGGTATATTTCAAACACCCACATCAGACCTTCAAATCAAACTTATTCAAGAGTATATTAACGATTAGCATTCAACTTCTTTCATTCAGTACAAACCCACTGTAACAGACTTATTAACACTCTCCGACACTCCCCACATCCCGGTGAAAATCATCGGTATCCTCGTGACATCCTACCCACATAAGAATTATAACCTTAATTGACTCATTCACGCTAAACTGACTCTGCGGTTTGTCACTCGCTGCTACATCTTGTAACGACACTGAGCTCATCTCCCTTTCGCCGCCGCTAGAGCGGACCTGACTCTCTTTTCTTCCTCCTGCCACACCTCCTACTACCCTTCTCCTCTTTCTTTTCCTTCCAGATTGTTATCAAAAGTCGAGTAAAAGATGTTTCTACATCTTTGACACTCGAGAATAAAATACGATCTGTAGATGGACAAAATAAGACTAACGTATAAGTCAAGCGGCCATAATCAGTCGACGAATAAGGTGAGTTTCTGATGGAAGGTCCAAATCACTGAACTGAAGAGTCTAGTATGAGTAAAAAATGTTAAGGATGGAGAATGTCAGATGGATATATGTATGTGTTTTTCTCTGGGAAATGGAGAACATCTAAGACAGCTGATGCAGTTGTTAGGATAAGTGAGAATGGAATAGAAGAAATTTCTAGCAAGTTTTTAATATAATTTTGAACTGTGTCTACCTTCAGATCACGGTGGATATACGAATATGGAATCAACCATTGCGCGTTGATAATCTCTCTGAGTGCTTTTTTTGAAGAATGGATGTGTTAAAGGTGAATTTGGCAGCGTGCCCCCAGACAGAACTGGAATAGAATACTGCTGGTCAAAGTACAGATTTATGTAAAGGTCCGTTTGCACGTAGCGATTTCCTCGGCCGACTTAGGGTTCTAGTCTGGACACCAGTCGAGATCGGTACCAAACAGTGGAACGAATGCGGTTCACCCAATCGCCGAAAGGTGATTTCAATGAAAATAGGACCCGGTCCACACCAACCACAAACGAGGGTAGCCAGAGGCCCGACCGCGCCCCAAACAACATCCGATCAGCGTAAAACCGCTGAACATTGGTAGTTCGGTCAGAGGTTCGAATCCCACGAACGGGCTGGCTGCATGGGCGTTATAACCAATATATCTGTCATTACCAACATATCTATGGTAACTTCCAGAAGCATAAAAGTTTAAGACACAAAAAACCTGTTTTAAATAAAATAGATACCTACATATATAAATGACTGTTTTATAAATATATTAACATATATATACAGTGAAAGAATTGCAGTAATCGGTCACAAAAGTATTCGAACACCGGTACCCTATCAGAAAATGACAAGATGGCGTTTTTTTTTTTTCTCTTTCTCTCTCTGTGTGTCGTGTTATTCCATCCTAGGTTTTCTTCTCCCCCCCATCTTGGAAAAAACTGGAAAAAATTGGTTACGATCTCTTTTTGAATGGGGAGATGCCATTTTGAGAAAAAAGCTGACGACCCTATCTTGGAGAATGAACATGACCGCTCTACACACCCTTTTACTCTCTCTCTCTCTCTCTCTCTTTTTTTGAATTGGGAAGCCATTTTGGGAAAAAGCAGACGACCCTATCTTGGAGAATGGAAATGAACGCCTCTCCCTCTCTCTTTGAAATGGGAAGCCATTTTGGGACCCTCTATTCTTGGGGAGGGAGAAAACTGAAGTCTGCATTTCGCTGTCTCTGAATGCGGAAAGCCCTTTTGGGAAAAGCGGACCCTCTTCTTCTGATCTTGGAGAACTGGAAATGAACGCTCTAAATGAACGCTCTACACGATCTCTCTTTGAATTCAGAAGGTATTTTGGGACCTTCTAATGTTGGAAAACTGAAATGAACGCTCTACACCTTCTCCTTCTCTCTCTCTCTCTCTCTCTCTCTCTCTCTCTCTTTCTCTGAAATGGGTAGCCATTTGAAAACTCCCTAACTTTGGAAAAAAACAGAAATGAACGCTCTACACCATCTCTCTTTGAAAATGGGGGGTGTCATTTTGAGACCTCCCTCCCCTAAACTTGGAAAAAAAAAACTGAAATGAACGCTCTACACTTTCTCTCTTTGGACATGGGTAGCCCTTTGGGGACCCTCTCCTCTTGGTAGAAAAAAAAAGAACTGAAGTGAAGGCTCTACACAATCTCTCTTGGAATGGGATCCATATTTCGGGAAACGTGGATCACCTCATGCTGGAAAACTGAAGTGAACCACCAAGATTGGACTCTATATAATATTTTTTTAAAAAATTGACATCATGACCCTCCTCCAATTTGTTATTAAAAAAATTGTTTTTTTTTGTTTTGGTTTTTATCCCATTTCCGATGTGATTTCAGAAATGCAATTCCATAACAGTTCAATTTCATTCGAGGTTAAATGATCTAAACAGTCTTTGACCCACCCATCCGTATGATTATTTTCTTCTCCTTCCTGTTGCACCAAATTTTGTAAGTCCATATAATCATTCCATACGGGAAGGGCTGGATCCTCACAAGGCTGTCTTGAAACACTTGGAGTCTCTTTGGGATGAGTGGAGGGATCTAGGATGTCTGGACCCGGCTGCGATTCTACCTCCATGATTTCTGGACCCGTTGGAACTTGTTTACCCGGCTGAAATTCTACCTCCATGATTTCTGGACCCGT